GGGGAACACTAGCATGTAACCCATCACATAGGGCTGAGTTGGCATAACCTCTCTGAAGGCGATTTTGTAACTAATTCTACACTTTGAGCTTCTGTTCCACTTCAGGGAGTTTATACAGTAACTGCAAAAACATGAATATGAAAAGGGAGTATATTCAAGGATAACTATTACAGCATTAGAATGGTAAAAAGTGGATTAACTTCTATGTCCAACAATAGCATTATTCACTTATTAATATATTTGTGGTGATTTTTTTTGACACAAAAAGATGTTAAGCAGATTATGAAACAGTGTGTACAGTAGGATCCCATTTTTGCTGCGGCATTCATAAATGTGCATATGGGCACTGTTTGGAAGGAGACCTAGCAAGGTAACAGTGGTTATCTTTGGGTAGTGGGATTGTAATCGTAATGTTTTTCTTGATTATCTGTATTTTGAAAATTTTCTAGCATAGATAAGTACTACTTTTTTTTTTTTAAATTTATTTATTTTGAGAGAGAGACAAAGAACACACCGGAGGAGCACAGAGAGAGAAGGAGAGAGAGAGAATCCTAAGCAGCAGGCTCCACCCTGCCAGCATAGAGCCTGATGTGGGGCTCAATGTGGGGCTCGAACTCACGAACCATGAGATCATGACCTGAGCCGAAACCAAGAATGGGACGCTTAACTGACTGAGCCACCCAGGTGCCCCTAAGCACTACTTTTTAATAAGAAAACAAGATAAATTATTATAGGAAACAAAATATCTGCCTCCATGAGAAGTTTCTGAGTTCATGTCTATTGAAGAAAACATGTTTGTTAATGCAGTTAGTTTTCTGCTGCCACAGTTATAGGTTACAACATGATTGTTAGAAATGTTTATTGATTTTGAAATTGTTAGAATTACCCATTAGGACCATTTCAAAGAGCCAAATGGCGAGAAACTTTTTACTTTCATCCCTGTCCTTAAAAACCTAGTAGCTGTAAGCACCAGCAAATCTGTTCAGAGCAAACTCCCTGAAGGGCTTAAGAAAAGTGTAGGAAAAAATGTGAATTAGGGTCACGCCTGGAGTTTTCTGGTGTATTTTGATGCTGTTGTTTTCCCCTTGTATCAATCTAGAGAAAGAAAGGAATACATATTTTTTAAATGTTTATTTATTTTTGAGAGAGAGAGCGTGCATGTGTGCGTATGCTTAAGCAGGGGAGGGGCAGAGAGAGAGGGAGACTCAGAATCAAAAGCAGGCTCCAGGTTCCAAGCTCTCAGCATAGAGCCGGATGCGGGGCTCAAACCCACAAACCATATGATCATGACCTGAGCCAAAGTCGGACACTCAAACAATTGGGCCACCCAGGCTCCCCAAGGGAAATATTTGAAGTTACAAAAGTAATATGTGATGATTCCATCAGCAAATATTTGAGTGTCTAGCATATATACCAGACATTGTTGTCAGTGCAGGAGGTGCACCATGAAGAAAACAGACAAATCCTTGCCCTCATAGAGTTTACATTCTGGTTGAGGTAGACGGACAAGAAACAAAGGAAAATTGAAGTATATGACGTGTCAGGTGGGATAAGTACAGAGACAAATAAAGCTGGGTAGGGGTTAGGTGTGTATGTGTGTGCCCGAGTATGTTCTAGCGGGCGGGAGTCGGGGGTCATTATTGTATAAGCAGTAGGTAAGAAGGACTCAGAGATGAGCTGACTTTTGACTGGAGACCTGAGTACGAGAGAGAGAGTAGGCCCTGCAGGTGTTTGGAGGGGGAGGGTTCCGGGCAGGGGAAGCAGGATCAGGCCCCACAGTGCTTGGGGTACTTGATGACTAACAATGACGCCAGAATGCAGTTTTATTCTCCTTGTAAATGAAAACATCATTATGGAGAACTTTTAATACCTTTAAATATTGTAAAGAATATGCATGTTTTTAAAGCTTTTGATAAGGATAGACAAGTAGTGTGTGTGTGTGTGTGTGTGTGTGTATGTGTAACTTTTCATTTGTTTATTGAATATTTATATTTCTTATGTGTGTGTGAGAGAGAAATACACATACACACACTCACACACACATCACACACATGCAAACACCTCTTTTTTGCCCACTGAGTATATTTCTTTCGTGCAGTTGATTTTTTTCTTTTTAAAAAAAATTTTTTTAATTTTTTTTTTTTTTTTTGAGAGAGCAAGCATGAGCAGGGGAGGCGCAGAAAGAAAGGGGGGACTGGGGATCTGAAGCAGGCTCTGTGCTGGCAGAGCCCACCGTGGTGCTCGAACTCACAAACCGTGAGATCATGACCTGAGCCGAAATCGAGAGTCACATGCATAACTGACTGAGGCACCCAGGTGCTCCAAGGCTTCTTCTTTGTGTATGGATTGACTGTTGGTGTTCCTTTTAGGCTTTTCTTGCATCAGCTGCACTTAACACATACCCTATGATTTTGAGTGGAAGGAGAACTTTGATACTTTGAAACAATATGAATGCAGAGTTCTTCACAATATTTAATTACTTTTCTTCCCACTCCCCACCCCGCATCCTTTCATACTTGTTTTGCCCATATCTGTTTTGGCAGCACTTTTCCCAGTGATTCATATTTATCATTCTCGATAGCAGCTATGATTTTTTTTGTTGGTGTGGAGGGGAGGGAGGGAGGCAGCTGTCTCTGATGAGAGTTCACAAGGGCCAAGGCAGGGTTAGGCCACCAGCTGCTTTTGCAGGTGTCTAAATTTCCGCCTTTGGTGCGTGTTGCTTTGGCTCCATCCACCTAGAAGGTGGGCCCTGAGTGAGATAATTATGGATCTTAGTTCCATGGATGGATCCAAATGCTCACACAGCTGCTCTGTAACATTTCCCACAAGTGTTTGGTCCAACTGGATCTGTTTATTTTTCATAGTTCAAGTCATTTCTTTGTGTGTAGGGTACTGGGTTAAAATATGAGGTGTTCCCTAGCCATGTTTTCTCTTTCATATCCATGGCTCCTGAGATGCCCTGATGTCTCTTGGAGTGTATGACTGGGCAGGAGTTTTCTTTGTTTAAGAGGGAATAGAGCACAAACGCGTGGGGCCTTGCTGAGCTCACGTCCTGAAGCAGCGGGCCTGCTGCCGCTGGGCATGCTGCTGTTTCACACAGGGCACTCCTTGCCTTTTCACTGTGCTCCCTGCTGTGTATGCTCTGGGCCTCCTTGTGGTGCTCAGCGGGCCATGGGCCTGTCTCCCTTGACCCTTGTGAGCTTAAGGTCTAATGGGAAAGCCATTTCCTAGAGGAATAGCAGTTGGTTTGATGTCAAGCATGGCATCACTCTCCACCAAGATGGAGAATGGCATCCTCCTTTCTCTGTTCACCTATTGGTTGGAAGTGCAGACATCTATTATTGCAGCAAGACAAGTAAGAACAGAGAATATTCCTCAGGTCATTAATATTCTTCACATCGTTAGATGCTTGGTCTGCTACCAGAGCGAAATCATGCTGTGTTTGCAGCTTATATGTTTATATGTCAATGTCTCCCACTAGATTATGAGGTCCTTGAAGGCGGAGTATGAAAGGGTGGCTTAAAGTTGAGGCTTTAGAGTCAGATGACCTGAATTCAAATTCTGACTTTGCTATAACCACCTCTTCTGACCACAGACAAATTAAACTCTTTATGCCTCAGTTTTGTCATGTGCACAATGGGGATAATAATAATAATAAAGACATTTTCTTCATAGGTGATTGTACACATTTTTAAAAGACCCAGCGTAGAAAACATTTAGCACACTGCCTCATAATAATCCTGGCACTGTCAGCACTTTGCCAATTCATACAAATGTTTGCTGAGTGAATGTATTCAGAAAGGGTTTGGAGGCCTAACTAGAGACTAGAGACATTTTAGCACCAGGTTCCCTGGGAAGGGTACAAAGCAGGGCTGATCATAGATGTAGTGCCTGCCCATGCTAGTGAGATTCACAAAGAACATTCCGTGAGCAGGCACCATCCCAGGATAGCAGGTCATTGAGTGAGCTGGGATTGTTATGTTAAATTCTGCTGGAAGGGCCTCATTTATTTATATCTATTTTGAGAATAACTCTGGGAACTTGCGTTAGTGAACCACATGTGTTTGTGACTAGGGAACTTCAATGATGGGTTCTTTAGGTAAAAACCGGTATTTTGCTTCTATTGAAGACAGCAAGATTCTAAACTGTATTGAACAAAGCAGTTTTGGGGGCCCCTACGTGGCTCATTCGGTTAAGTCTCTGACTGTTAATTTTGGCTCAGCTCATGATCTCATGGTTGGTGAGTTCGAGCTCGGCATTGGGCACCTTGCTGACAGTGCAGAGTCTGCTTGGGATTCTTTCCCTCTCCCTCTCTCTTTGTCCTTCTACCACTTGTCAAACAGCATGGAGCTGTTTGATACATCGCCTAGGTAAATAACCTTTAACAATTTTGAATAATTTGGCATGGGTTCAAAGCCTCTGGGTATTTAAAATCCAAAGAATAATGCTCACTGCCCTTATAAAAACTTTAAAACCTTAAAAAAAAAAATCAGGGGCACATGGGTGGCTCAGTCAGTTGAGCATCTGACTCTTGGTTTCAGCTCAGGTCATGATCTCACAGTTGGTGGGTTCGAGCCTTGTGCTGCCAGCATGGAGCCTGCTTAGGATTCTCTCTCTCCCTCTGCCCCTTCCTGCTCTCACACACACATGCACACACACACACTCTCTCTCTCTCTTTCAAAATAAATAAAGTTAAAAAAATACTGGAAAAAAAAATCAGATCTGTTCTCTCTCCCAAACTTCAGGAAGCCTTTTTCCATCTCCAACTCGTTTGTGTTCCATTGTGGGATCGGTAATGCTAGGTAGTTGGCAGAGTGACGGGCTATAGCCAGATGGCTTTGTCAGCCTCCCTCACTCTCAGTGGACACAGACCACATCACACTTCACGGGTCGCTCAGAGATGTTGAGACAACCAGTGTCGTACTTGGTGCGTCCAAAAGGTCATGTCTTCTGGCTACGTCTTGTGACTGAAATATTCTGGTCTCTTTTCCTCTTTTTAGGTCTGATGTTTCGACATGGCTTCCCGCCTCGGTGCTGTTTGTGGGCATAATCTATGCCGGGTCCAGAGCATTATCCAAACTGGTAAGTGTTAGAGACTTTAGGGAGACAGTTCCTCTTTCCTTTACCCCTTCGCTTTTTAACTTACTGCACCTTGGATCAGTGGAGGACAGGACATCAGCTTCATGATGGTGCAGACAGACTGGAGAACTGCGTGGGGCCCTTTACCCCCTCTCCCTGAACTGAGGATAGATAACCAGATAATAGGGGAGGGCCAACTCGTTTTGTAAGATGAAGAGGCACTGATGGAGACGAGGAAGAGAAAGATGTGATATTTATGGAGCCTGACACAAACGGGGCCAGCCTGCTCTGCCTGAATGCAGGCCACCCTGGAGGGCAGGGAGAGTGGGCTCGGCTGGCTCCTCCTCGCTTCTGAGGAACCGTAACCCTGCCCATTGGTGACATGGACTGGGCGGTGCTGGGCTTAGTAGTGATGTACATGCCTGGCACAGCGTTGACACCCAGTACATGGGGGCGCTAGTAAAACAAGTGTCCCCCTGGTCTCCCACCCCATCCCCCTAGATTTGAGCTTCTCAAAGGAGGGGATGGTAAAGAACAAATTCTTCCAGTTACATTATATGAAAATATAAAAATGAAGTTATTTTTCCATCAAAAGAGAGTCCATTGATACTGCCATTGACCAGAGACTCAGAAGGAGGTTTAAAAATCAGTAATGCCTCTTCCTGTCTTGTACCCTGACCACTCATGCCGTTTTTATCTACCAGAAAATGATTGTATTCTGACTTTTGGAAAAAAAGGCAAAATTTTCAGAACAATTTGATCTTTTTATGTAAAGTTTGTTCTTATGTTGGTCCCTTAGGTCTCAGATGGAAAACAGTAAAGCAGACACAGATCTGCCTATCTTCAGACGTGTCATTGTTAGGATAACCCCGAAGTTGCAAAATAGTGGTTGAGAGTTACTAGCGGTTAATTTCTAAATTAAACCATCATTTTTCTTTCATGATTCATAAGCTTGAGTCATTTGGATGCTCTGTTCAATGGGGGAGAAACGTGCTGGGTGGGCCCAAGAAATGACCAATAGCACACATTGGTGCTCAGCCCAGAACCTGAGACCTGGACTGGCTTCCTGCTGCCCCTTCTCCCTTCTGTCAGGCTTTTGTTGAGTCTGCTGCCTTGCTTTACACCTTCTGGCCTGCAGAGGGCGCGCTCCCTCCCATAGCAGACTATAGGTATTGATGAAAAGCATGTATTCTTTCTTTTTTAAGTTTTTATTTGAATTCCAGTTAGTTAGCATACAGTGTGATATTAGTTACAGGTGTAGAATTTAGTCATTCAACACTTGTAAAACACCCAGTGCTCATCACAGGTGCCCTCCTTAATCCCCATCTCCTAGTTAAACCCCTTCCCCCCCCACCTCCCCTCCTGTAACCATCAGTGTGTTCTCTATAATTAAGAGTCAGTTTCTTGCTTTGCCTCTCCTTACCCCCCACCATGTTTATTTTAAAAACAATGTTTCTCGTATAGGAACTGGATAGTGATGGATGCCAGAATTTTGAAGTTTGAATAAGTATCGTTGGGCTAATAACAGCAATATTTTTTGTTTGTGCAGTATCTTTTCATATGTTTCTAGAGTGATCGTCTCTCTGTCTTTTTATGTGATTCTTACATTCACCTGACAGGTGATGTGTGGGGCAGATGTTAATCACCTGACAGAGGAAGGAACTTGGGTGTGGAAGGTCTTGGTGACTTGCCTCTAGTCCCAACTAGTGGCAGCTCCTCTAACTCCAGACCTTTTTGCCTTTTCAGATTTGTCTCTTTAGGGCCAACATGTATAGATTTTAGAATGGCCCAGGGTAGTCAGCCCTAACTTTAGACTCTTCATTGCAAGCATTAGAAAGCTCATAAACTGTTCTAAACAAAAGGGAAATTTACTGGTTCATATCATTGGAAAGTTGTAGATCAGGCAAGCTTGATCCAGAGGTTCCAATGACAGTTTCTGTCTCTCTTTCGGTTCTGCTCTGTCTTTGCTCCATTTCACAGCCAGGCTCCCCGCTCATGGGTGTCGTTGACTCCAGGCCCACATCCTTACAACTTGAAGTCTAGTGGAGAGAGGCTCTTCCTTATAGTTCCTGCATGAGTCCTGGGATTCACTCTGAATATATCAGTAGGGCCATTGCCCTTCCCAGGTCTGAAAGTGAACCAGGAAGATGGAATTACTGATTGGTTGGCCCCGGATCATTGTCTCCATTCAGTGTGGCTGGAGAGACTCAGAGCACCATTTGGCCATTCCTGGTCTTATAGTATCCCCGCCTGGATCCCATGGACTGAGACGGGGTGTGGCAGATCCTTGACACTGGGCTGCTTTACCCAAAGAAGCGATAAGTATACGAGGTGGCCGAAAATCACTCAAAAGCCCATTGTAAAGGTCATTCCAGTACATTCTCAGGCAGAATGGATGTTCCATAACCTAGTACAATGCTTCTCGAAGTGTGGTCCGTGCGCGGTGCCTGTCTGTGAGCTCTGTGTCACCTGTCCATGAGGACGTTGTGCCAGAATGTACATCCACTTTGGCACTAAACACATTGTTCAGTTGAGCTGACATTTTTTTTTTCATAGCGAGACTTTTTGAGAAAGGAAGCAGTGCACTGATTTGCCTTCTGGCCTGAGCTTATTTTCGGGGTGAGCACACTGTGAGTGGCGTTGCCTAGAGCACAGCCCTCTTTTATGGGCAAAAAGAAGCTGCTGCAGTTCAAACTCTTCGAGCAAAGGAAAACAACCCAAACCCAAATACACCCAATTAGAGTGGGAGTACAGAAAAGAGACACTCATTATTGTTTTTCAGTGAACTAACAACCCAGCATCTCTTCTTTGTTTTCTGAGGTTTTTGTTTTTACATAGCTGCTTACAATTTACAGAGCGGGTTAAACATGAGGCAGTCATACAGCTTGTGTTAGATAGAAAACAGGCGTCCATATGCTGGTGCCAAGCTGTCAGTTTAAGGAATCCACAAGGAGTTGGGGGAAAGTGCTCAGTTAAAATCTGTGTGTATATTGTTATGCAGAACACTTTAGAGGTAGTTCTGCTCCATAAAGGCCTCCCTTATCTGACAAGATTTTGAAGCTCTGTTCCTCTGATGTGCAACTCCTAAGAGGAAGCTGGTTTAAGGCATACGCCTCTATAAAGGCATAGCAGGGAAAATTCTTTATTGGTTTTTCCTCCTCACAACCGAATGATAACACAGAGTTAAGGGAAGGGGGTTATTCTTGTGGTTTATTCATTCAGCAAATATTCATTGGTGGGTCTACTATGGGTTGGACGCTTAAAGACAAATAAGATATGGTTCCTGACCTTGAGAAACTCCAAGGGGAGTGAGAAAGACACAGCTCACCAGGGGAAGAGGTGCCATGAATATTCGGTGTTAGCGTGTGCCGGGCACTTTCCGTTGCCACTTTTCATCACATATGAAGTCAGACTTAATTATTCCCACTTACAGATGAGGAAACTGAGATCCAAATTATTTGGCCAAGGTCAACAACTCATAAATGTTAAAGCGGAAGTGTAAACCTGTGGTGTCCAACCACAGCAGTTCATCTCTAAAGCTTACCGTCTTTCCTCCCCAAATTACATCACCCAGGAGAAATCAGCCCATCAGGACTGAGGAGAGGAACCTTGTAGTTGCTGTCCCTTCTACTTGGGCTAGTTTGGGTCAGTTTCTCCAGCTATCCTACACTGAATAAGGTCACAGTGATGATGGTGATGATGGTGGTAATGGCAGGAGTGTTGGTCTTTGGAGTGTCAGTACAACCTTGACTGGTCATTATTCCTCTTCTTGTAATTTCCCCGCCGAAGACTTGTCAGTGAGACAGGGTTGCCTCAAAGCCTGTGCTGGTGAGTGTTTAGAACAGACACGCAAAGTCCTACATTCATGAGCTTGCCAGTGAGAGGCCATCCTGGTGTCGGTGATTTGGCCGCTCAAACCATGTTGTTTTCTTGCTTGGGAGAAGCCGGGGTCAGGAGTTGAAGTACTCTGCAAATCTGAGTTAAGGCATTTTGACAGGACTGCTCTTGGTCTCTTCCCCAGCTCTTTGATCTTGGTCCTTCCCTAACTGCTTGTCGGGATTTGTCTTCCATGAGCACAACATTCACTCCGCACATTGCAAGTGGAGCTTGGATGGGGTGTTGGTGAGGAAACACACATGGATAATTAGACCCAGATGGAGCAGATTACTCAGTTAAGCAGACTGGAGCCCATGGGTCCCCTCCCCATTTGTTTGGCACTTATATTATGTAAAGGAACTTGGGTCCACAAAGGAAAAGAATGTAAATGTTGATGTAAAATGGAGACTCTTCCCCTGATGTTCCCTGTTACTGCCGATTTGAGGCAGCCCTCCTCTTTCATGTTGTTCTCTTACCACAGCTGATCAGAATCCATTTGCATGGATTACTTTTTAAGGCATTGGCTCGGCAGCAAAATAGTAAACCCTTCCTCTGGATTTTAGTTATCTTCTTGCTCCATTTATGATGTTCTCCATAACCCTTATAAACTGATTTATTAAAACAGGGTTCCAGGGGTGCCTGAATGGCTCGATCGGTTAAGCATCTGACTCTTGATCTCAGCTCTGGTCTTGATCTCAGGGTTGTGAGTTCAAACCCTGTGTTGGGCGTGGAGCCCACTTAAAAAAAACAAAAACAAATAAAAAACAAAAAACCAGGGCTCCAAGGGAAAAAGCTTATGACACTGGATCTGGCAATGATTTCTCAGATATGATACCAACAACACAGGCAACAAAGGAATAAACAGACAAATTGGACTTCATCAAAATGAAAAACTTTGGTACATCAAAGGCTACCATCAACAGAATAAAAAGGTAACCCACTGAATGGGAGAAAATATTTGCAAATCATTTTTTTGATAAGAGATGTTGAAATAAATTTCTAGTCCCAAGATGGAGCTCCTCCTTTCAGCAGTGCTACAAACCACACTTTAGCATTCACATAAATGCTCCGCTTGACCAGAAACTCAGTACATCCACACAGCCAGTCCGTCAACACCACAGCAACTC